TGCGTTAAAATATCTTGAAAACACCGCATCAATTACTCGTTTTGAGCTTTTATGTTTGTATATACTCCTAAATTCAGTTTTTCTTTTAGGAATATGATCAGTGGTACATAAAAAAAAATTTACGAATTGATAACCTTTTCCTTTTTGTGAAGTCGGTTAAAAAGAGCTGATCATTCGACTGAGATGACTAAAAACAATCTGGTTTAGATTTTTTCCATTTTCTGTCTGTTTCCTAGCTTGTTTTGCACTGCTCTGCGCGCTTGAGACATTTGAATGAAATGTAAAAATACAGCGGATCCGCTGGCTTGACCACGTCTTCCGAATGGACACAGAAAGTCCAGCCCTGAAAGTATTCAACTCGGTACCCGCTGGAGTGGAGCATTACTTGGCTTCACTTGGCATTTCCAATGGGCGTTACTTGCCGCCGAAGAGAAACTACTGGCGTGCTTTGTTGAACTAGGCCAAAATCGCTTAGGCGGTTACAACGTTAAACAAGAAGAAATGTAAAAGCATAAAAACCGAAATTAATCGTCAAACAGAATATACCTAAAAGAAATTAATGTAGAAATTATTAGTTTTGATTTTTAATTTTATTTGAGCATAAGGAGTCCAGATAGCTTATGTTGCCCCAAAGAAAAGATTGTGTAGTTCGAAAAAGATGCAACAATCACAATGATGGGGGAAAAATTTAAGAATCTGAAAAGCTTTTTTACTGAACCATTGCTGACTATGGCACTTCCGAGCCTATGTATCTACAAATTAAATATACATAAATCAAGTAGTATATAAATCCATGTACCTTCCTTATGAAAACAAAAACTACTTTTAGTAGATTTACTAAATAGAAAGTAAAATCGATAAACGAGGAGGAAAAGTGGTGCGGCTAAATGAGATTACTGGTGAAAATATCACATTAGCAGGTCTATTCTGCACGTTACCGATGATTTTGTAACCNTCAAAATACCGGTATGTGCGTTGGTAATGCAGGTAAAATATTCAGCAATTCAGCTATGAAGAATTGTGCAAACTCTGGCATTGCATATTTCACGGGGCAATACTTTGTTACCAGCTTATGAGATGGTAACAAAAATTACCGGTTACAAGAGTACACAGAATGCGAAAAGGGTTTACAAATTGACAGAAACTTTATTTACCGGTTACAAAGTTTTTATTACCAGCGCATAATAGACCTGTAAAAAGTACGTTAAATTCAAGTACAGACGTATATTAAATCTTAATATATTTTTTTTTTTCAGAAAAAACTACACGTGGAAGTTGGGACAATACTAGACAGCTGCATACTGAAATCCAAGAACTAAAGAGTAAAAAAGTGGTATACATATATAATTATGTCGAATTTATAATTTTAATTGTTAAGGCATTGTTGAAAACCAAAACATGATGATTATGGGAGAACTGACAACTCACAATGTTTTATTAAATCAACTTTTGCACCAAGAATCCATCACAGACGACGTCATTCAAGTCTTCCCTTTAAAATCTTTGGAGGATGTAGATAAAATTAACATAGAACTATCTGGGCCAAACAAAGCAGTTTATGTAAGCAATTAATTTTATTATTGATTCAATATTTTAAATTCTTTATTGCATTCAACAGGCAAAAGCAATAAAGTCACTATTAAAGGGAAAGCTGACAAAAAAATTGGATACTGTAATGTCTATGGACCTAATAATATCATTTAATATAGATGGAGTTCACGGAAAACAGAGTTTGAAAGAATATAGAAATTTTTTCGAAATTTTGTTAGGTACATATGTAAATACCT